CTCTCATGTAAACAACTTAAGTAGTATTCTATTTATCCTCCTATTTTTGTTGCTCACAACAATGTTCTAACTTATAGATTCATTTAAATCAGAGTGATCTTAAAACGCAGATTAAGCCATGACATTGTTTTACTTAGAATCTAGAATTCTTAGACATTTTTCATTATCTTAGCATCAAGTTTAAAGTGATAAATATAACCCTACATGATTGTTTCCTGTTCTCAACTACTTCCTTCTCATGTGGGATGTATGTGTTTGGCATGCTCCATTGTGAACTGTGAGGGAGGGAGGGAGGAAAGGAGTAAGTGAGGGAGGGAGTGAAGGAAGGGATGAGAGAGCGACAGAGGCAGGGATGTGTGAGGGAGGGAGGGAGGAGAGGAGAGAGATGGAAACGAAGGGAGAAGCAGGGAGAAAGAGAGATCAGAAAAAGGGAGGAAAACAACAAGAAAAGAGACTGGAAGAGATTCAGTTAAAAAGATTTAGATGAAGTACAAAATATCAGAAAAACAAAAAAACCCAGCTGGTATAAGTTCAGATGCCTCAGAGTTACACTATTGATGTCATGAACTACAATCATATTTTCTCGTATGTCTCATAAGTTCTCTCAGAAACAGAACTGTGAATTAGGTTTACTGCACTTACAGTATCTGGAAATTAACAAGAAAAACACAAAAGCTGGGAATTACTGAGAAAAAATTTTAATACTTTGTATTTTCAAATCAGCTTGACACAGTCAGTCATTTTTTAAAAAGACTTTGTCATCCACCCATAAGTAGCAAAATGGTTACTAATATCAAACTGTCTTAAAATGGGATAATTCAGAGATTTGGACTGTGAGTTTCAATCTCTGGGTTTAAAGCTTAGTTCACCAATTTATTAGCTATGGAATACTGAACTACTGACTCTGCTCCAGTTTCCTCATTCTAAAAACTGGAATTAACAAAACACATCTCTTAAATCATTTGAACCAAACTGAACATCATCATGTGGAAAATTACTGAACATTATGCCTGACACAAAAAAATTAAGCAATAAAGGTTATTTTAGCTCTGGTGAAAAGACAGTTCATTTCCTTTTTTTGGATAGCACGGGTTTGGAGTTTTTACACAAGTGGAATTAGTCCAGCACTTTTAAACAAACGGTACTTAAAAGTTTAGTATATGTCAGTTTTAGGAAAGGATACTCATTATTCTTCTCTGGTAGTTTAATTTCTGAAGCTAACTTGGCATTTCTTAAGAAATCTGTCACTACTCAGACATGGTCAGTTTCTTTGAGTTGTCTTAGAAGAATGTAAATTAAAATCACATTTGATGAGAAGCCTTAAATAATTGAAATTAGCATTGCATTAAAATATTTAGAGACAAAAGCAAGAACAAGTTCACCTTTTAGTAATTTAGGATTGGCTGAGTGTGGCAATGGTCTTTAAAAGAGGCTATCTATATTTATTAAAATTTAAAGAAAAAAGGGTATCAGAAGGAATTTAGTGCTTTATCCCAATATTTGAATTTATAGCTATTGAATTATTGCTTTGAAGAAAATGTTATTTTATTTAATCATAAGTTATAGGGAGCTGAATTTACTCATTTATGCTATCAAATTATATGCAATAAATTCACTTTCCTGGTGTTAATTTTTCACTCTATGTAAGTGATGTGGGTTCATCCCTATGACAGAAAGTATTTTAACTGGCATTCTTCATAATAGAAAATAAATTTACTTCTAACTTACACACCTGATTTAAATAAGACTTGGAGTGGTGCACTTTAATGATACAATAAACTAAAATAACTCAAACTTTACTTGCAAAAAAGATTTATACTTTGTTGTTCATTGTTTCTTAGTTTACTCAAATTTTCAAATCCTAATGGAAAATTTTCTTCAAACTATTAAAATATTTTATGATTTAATAGATTTTGTTACATAAAATAAAAGATTTATTTGTTTCTTTATTTGAAAGGATGAATGACAGAGAGAGGGAGAGGCACACAGGAGGAAAGATCTATTTCTGTTGCTTTACTCTCCAGATGGCTTCAACAGACAGTTGGCCAAAGCCAAGGAGCCAAGAACTCCACCCTGGTCTCCCACTGGGTGAAAGGGCCCCAGCACTTGTGCTATGTTCTGTGGCCATTTACTGGCACACTAGCAGACAGCTGGATTGGAGCAAAGCAGCTGGGACTTGAATGAACCCTTAGTGGATTCCAGCATTGTAAGTAATACCTTAATCAAAGCTTCTTAAGCATAAAAAATGTTAAGGTCAAATTCAGTTTGGAACTATCAGAAATAGAACTGAAAAATAAATACTAGAAATAAGAATGCTTCTGCAGTCTTATAAATTTGATTTATGCTGGAAGAGAATTCCATCCATTGTGTTTTCCCTAATTCTGTTCCTTATGTCGTTAGGAACATCACAATGAGTTTAAATTTGTTGTAAATATGAATTGTTTGCATTACAGCTCACATACTTATGAGTAGCCTAATTAATGAAAGTGGTTAAAGGATATCAAGAAACTACTGGAACTTACAAAGATTTTGGCTGGGTAGCAGGACACAAAATTAATAAACACAAATCAATGGCATTACTATACACAAATAATTCCATGGCTGGTAAACTGCAGGTACAGACCTCTTTAAAACAGTGGAGAGGAATCTTAACTATCTAGGAACTAATCTAACCAAATAAGTGGAAGACACTGATAATGAAAACTATAAAATATTTTAAAAAGAAATAGAAGAAATGAAAAAATGGAGAAATTTACCGTATTCCTGGTTCAGCATTTTCATAATCAAAATGTCCATACTACAAAAAGTAATGTACAAATTCCATGTAACCCTAATAAAAATTCCAACAATATTCTTCTACAAAATGGAAAAGAAAATGCAAAAATTCATTTGGAAACACAGGAGACCATAAATAGACAAAGCTATCCTGAAGACACAAATCAAGCTGGAGCAATCACAATTCTAGACCTCAAGACATACTACAGAGCAGAGATAATCAAAACAGTCTGGTACTGGTACAGAAACAGAGAATAAGATCAATGGAACATAATAGAAACATTAGAATGGAGCTAACACATGTATAACACACTAATCTGAGACAAGAAAATGGAAAATAATCCATGGAAAAATCTGGTCTTTTCAACAAATGCTGTTGAGACAACTGGCTTGCAGCCTGCAGAGGTAAGAAGCAAGACACCGCCTGTCACATTATACAAAAAATGAGCTCTAAATGGTTTCTGCACTCAGAAACCATCTAAGCAGTAAAGGAGGATATAGGAAGCACTCTCCAAGATATAGGAATGGTGAAAAATTTCTTGAAAAAGACAGCAAGAGCACAGGCAGTCAAAGACAAAATAAACAAACAGGATCACATCAAACTAAAAAGCACTGTACGGCAAAAGTTTCAATCATTCAAGTGAAGAAGCAACCAACAGAATGGGAGAAAATCTTTGCACACTACACAACAGATAGGGGACTAATATCTAGGACTTACAATGAGCTTTATAAACACAACAACAGGAAAAACAAACAACCTTGTGAAGAAATGTGCAAAGGAAATGAACAGACATTTCTCAGAAGAACAGATTCAAATGGATAACAGATATATATATGAAAAGATGCTCAGGCTCTTTAGCCACCAGGAAGATACAAGTCAAAGCCACACTGAGGTTTCACTTAACTCTAATGAGGTTGCCTACATTCAGAACTCTATTAATAACACCTGCTGGCATGGATGTGGGGAGACAGGTACCCTCCTTCAGTGCTGGTGGGAGGTTAGGCTAGTACAATCACTATGGAAATCAGTATGGAGAGTGCTTGGAGAACTCCAAATAAACCTGCCACATGACTCAGGTATCCTCCTCCTAGGAACATAACCAAAGGAAAGGAAAAACTGCATAGAAGGGGATCTGTAACCCTATATTCAGAGCAGCACAATCTACAATAGAAAAAAAAAAAAAAAAGGAAACAACGCAGATGCCTATCCAAAGAGGAGTGGTTAAAGAAACTGTGGTACAATATGGAAATAATAGTCTTACCCACTTTCCTATAGCCCTTGAACCTTTTTACCCTAATTAACTATGTAAAGATTGTCAAAAACATAATAAAAAGGAAAAAAATTTACACACACACAAAAGCACAACAAGAGAAAAAGAAAAAAAAAAAAAAGAAAAGGAAAGAAAAAGACACTGTGGTACATCTACTCCATAGAATAGAATACTACTAAGCCACTAAAAAGAATGAAATTATATGATTTGCAACTAGATGGTCCCAACTGGAGACCATTATGCTCAGTGAAATAAGTCAATCCCAGAAGGACAACTACCATATATTCTCTCTGATATCAGGCAAAGTTCATTCAAATTATAGGATCAATAGCACTTTTAATACTATTTTTGCTGCAATCCATAGCATTTGAAATTTTTGTTCTTATTTTCATTTCTTCCAATTAGTTTCTTTTCTCTTATTAAATTCTTGACTGACTCCATAGATCACACAGTAGCATCACTTTACCCAAGAAACTTTTTTGTTTTTATTTTCATTTGTTCATCGACACATTGGTTGTTCAGTAACATGTTATTTAACTCCATGCTGTTGTAAATTTTTTTTAACTTTATTCCTGTTGTTGATTTTGTTTTATGGTTTTTCATTTAAGGGAATATATAGTGATGGTGTAATAGAGACTATCGTATCCAGATGTGAAGAAACAATGCAGTATGCATCTCTACTTCCAAAATGAGGATAACTCCTAAAACACGTTTGAATATATCTTGACAATGCATACTGGATTATCTACCAGTATCTGTACCTGCAATGTCAGAATACACTCAAATAGCAGAATTGTGGACTTAATGACTGCTTATGAAGGACTATACTATTATAATGTAGGGGAAATCAGCTGGAGGGAGGGAGTTTTGAGGAGGGGGGTCAGGGAAACCCAATAGCCTATGAAATTGTATAAGAAAATTAATAATAAAATAGAAGAGTAAAAATAAGCTTACTGTGTCTCCAATTTTTCCAGTAGCTCCTTGATCTCCTACTTCTCCCTATTTTAAAAAAGATAAAAAATATAAAAATGATTAGTTTTCAAATAATAGTATTCATGGAGGTTCTTCCTCTGTCATTTATAATGTTATCTTGATGGCCTTTAAAGAGGAAAGAAAATCTGTTACTCCAAATTCCTTTACAGTAGTGAGAACCTGGTCTCTGTACTAAGATTATTACATTCATTCAAATAGTATTATTTTATTCAAATAGTAATAATAATCTATTTTACTAAATTATTTTGTCCTGTTCATGACCTTAAATCACTTTAAAGTAATTTTATAAATAAAAATTTAAAAAAATATATGTATTGAGGTAGGTAGAGTGGTAAGCACTTTGCAGTTCACAGGAATATTTACTTGCTTGAGTAGAAGAGAAGTTGTGTCACAGGAAAATCCTAAAGGAGCCCAAAGGAGAGGCACTCTGTGTTACATCAGCTAGCGTCTGTTTTACTGGAAAAACAACTAGTACTCATAACACAAACCACAATTTGCAGTCAATACACCTCTGAAAACAGTTCATTTGCCAACAAACCTCACCTAATCTGAATTTATTTGGCAACAATGACTAGAATGATATGATTGAGGCCATTTAAAACTTGGATGTATCCCAATTAATCTGAACATTCTTACATTTCACTCCATGAATATTAACGGATGTGTGCAAATATAACCTTCTGGCAGCATGAAGTAAGCCACTGTCTATCCTTCATATTTGAAAAATCCAAACATCGATAATTCCAAATAATAGGTAATGCAATTATTTGGGTGCCCTGTGCAGTAGCTCAGTGGCTAAATTCCTCTCCTTTCAGGTGCTGGGATCCCATGTCAGTGCCATATCTAATCCCGGCACCTCACTTCCCATCCAGTTCCCTGTTTGCGGCCTGGGAAAGCAGTCAAGGATGGCCCAAAGCCTTGTGACCCTGCACCCGTGTGGTAGACCTCCTGGCTTCAGATTGGTTCAACTCTGGCTGTTGTGGCCACTTGGGGATTTAAATATGGGATGGAAGATGTTCCTCTCTGTCTCTTTTCCTCTCTGTATATCTGACTTTCCAATAAAAATAAATAAATCTTTTAAAAGAAGAAAAAGAAATTACTTGGGCTCTAAACAGTTGCTACACAATGATAGAAGTGGCCATTTTGTGTGGTATAGAATGACCTGAATAAAGGTATGGATTATTGAAAGGTTGAAGGTTATATTGGTAACACATGCCATGGATATGACAGGAGTTTATATTTTCTTTTACAAAACTAGAGATTAAACCATTACTTAACATCATTTATAATAATTCTGCATTATGGAGTAATGAGACATTAACATACAATATTAAAGCCTCTAATGATAAATGGCTACTGACTACCTGTAAAAGGATGATGTGAACTGAAACGTGATATCACTAGAAGTATAGACAAGAGTCCAAGACTTTTTGCCAAAAACATTTCAAAAAACTCATCAATAATTCTAATGCTGGTTACATATTGAAAGGTTAATAAATTGATATAATGGGTAAAATAAAATATACTATATACGATTAATTTTATGTTTCTTTGTACTTTTTTTCATTTATTTATTTTCCAACAGAACAGTTTTTAACCTTTTGCCATTTTTGTTGCATATACAAACATATACATACAAATTGAAAGCTGGATGTGCCGGAGGCTGTTCTGGGTGGACATCAGCAATGCAAGAATGCAAAGCAGTAACTGGCCAAACAGCCAAGTGCTCAAATGCAGGTGTTTTTCCTCAGAAAACAAATTGCTTGTGTACTCAGTGAGGAATCCTTTTGTCTTCCTTCCCTCATCACATGATGATCTCCTGGTTGTCTCAGAGGCTAGCTATCAGTGGAAATGAGGCTGTGTCTTTAGACTATTGCCTATCTGTAGAGAAATTTGATACCTTGACCAAGAAAATAAAATCTGCTGGTAACAGCTCAGCAGGTTCCTCTCCTTTTGTTAAGGGGAAACCTCTAACCTCACCTCTGCCATCATAATCCGTATTTTGTGTCTCTATTTACTTTTTCTATTTGTGCATCACCTCCCCTTTGAATCCAGTTCATACTGCACAGGCCATGGTAGGGTTGGGTGCATAAATATCATAAATATGGGATTCAAGAGAAAGCATAAAATGAGAGAAAATGGTAAATTATTGATTATTGTATATAATTGCAGACAACACTAAAAATATATATATACTAAGTATATACACATGTATACCACAAAAGCTTACATCTGAAATGAAATATATAGCATTTTATCTTTCTCTGTCCTATTTCTTTTATTTATCTCAATGATCTCTAATTCTAAGCAATTTCCTGTAAATGTCAGAATTCCATTCTTCTTCACAGCTAAATAATATTTCAGTGTTCACATATACACATTTTCTTTATGCATTCATCCATTAATGGCCATCCAGATTGGTTTCACAACTTGCTACTGTGACTGATACTGCAATTAACATGGGAGTACAGGAATCATTCTCATATGCTGAGTTCCTTTGAATATATATCCTGAAGTGGTACATCTGTTTTATATGATAGTTTAGTTTCTTTAGGAAGCTATACTGTTTTCCACAATGGTTGTAGTAATTTGAATTCCCAGCAACAACGCATTAGTATCACCTTTTCTCTACAACCAGACCAGCTCTCATTATTTTTTGATTTTTTTATAAGTTATTATATCTGTAGTGAGATGATACTTCATTGCGGTTTTTATTGCATTTTTCTGGTAGTCAATGATATTGAGCAAACTTTCATGTGCTTCTTGGATATTTGTATTTCTTTTTTTGAAAAATTTTCAATTTTTAAATACTAAATTACTTAATTCTGCCTTGTTGATATGAAATATTTAACAGATCTTTATGAACTCCAGCATGTTATTTCAATATATCTATATGCAGCATAAACTGCATTAAGACACAATTAAGACACAATTTCTTTATCTTCTGTCTGGGTTTGAAATCTACTGTTGCCTATTTTCAAATAATGTGGCTCACACGTGTGATGCATGTTATTTTTTTAATATTTATTTTAGTTTTATTGGAAAGATAGATTTACAGAGAGAAGGAGAGAGAGATAGTCAGTTTGTTGGTTCACTTCCCAAATGGCTGCAATGATCAGAGCTGAGCCTATCCAAAGCCAGAACAAGGAGCTTCTTAAGGGTCTCCCAGGAGGGTGCAGAGTCCCAAGGCTTTGGGTCATCATTTACTGCTTTCCCAGGCCACATGCATGGAGCCGACATGGAAGTGGAACAGCTGGGACCTAAACAGGTGTCCATATGGGATCCCGATGCATGCAAGGCAAGGATTTAGCCACTGAGCCATTGCACTGGGTCCTACATTTCTATGGGACAGTACTGATATAAACCACTGAAACTTAATGTTTATCATAAATAATTCCTTTGAAAGAAATTTACAAAATCCTTTTTAAAAGTCCACACAAATTTTCTCTTTAATTTCTGTATGCATTCAGATAGTGAAGAGTGAACCTTTGTATGTAGCAGGCTGCAATATGTAGTTTTTGATAAATTGCTTTAAATAAATGGGTGGCAGGATAATATAAGCAGTATTTCTTCCAGTATTTTTTACTCCCTCTTTATAAGTGGGTCTTCTCCACATTAAAAAAGGGAGATGGAATTTGTGTGTGCTACTGATTCATTTGAAACACTTCAGGTTAGATGGCAAGCAGAAGTTGTTTACAGATGGCTTTTATCCTGAAGGAGCACAACCAGAGAGAAAAACATAAAAAGTATGTCCCCCAGGCTTGGAAAGAGATAGAGCTCCCAGAGTCCTGTGAAAGGTGGTGACTTTTAATTATCTTCCAAATTCTCTCCCAGGAAGTTGTAGGCCATAGACTAAAGAGGTTGAAGCGATGCTGAAGCTCATATTTTAGTGAGAGCTAGGGGGCATTGAACAGCAAAGAACTTCCCTCATACAGCAGCCTCATGTTAATAATGACCAAGACTCACTTCATGTTAGTTTGACTGAATGGTGGTCCATATTTGGACTTCACTAAAGCATCTGGCAGTGCAGAGAGTAATCCCAGTAAAGAATAGTTGATTATTGGTAAATACTGAGCTTTAATTTTCTGGAACTTTTAAACATTTTAAAAATTCTTCCATGTCTTATTTTTTATTGTTTTAAAACAACTTGAGTGAAATAAAAATTTACATGCCAAACAGCATTTAAAATGTGCAATTCTGTGCTTTTAGTGTCTTCACAGATCTGTGCAATCGTTCCCATAGTTCACTCTAGAACATGTTCCTCATCATGAAGAGAAAGTCTGCACTCTTTTGCAATTACTCCTTATCTATCCATCCCAAAGGTCCTCAAATAAGCACATATCAACTTACTGTCCACAGATTTGCCCATTCTATGGATTTTATATGCATAAAATCACATACTATGTGATCATATGTGATTGGCTTCTCTCAGGTTCACCCACGTTGTAACATATGCTGTCTTCCTTTTTCCAATCAGATAATATTCCACAACATACAGCAACTTGTTTGTAATCCATGGATTTATAGGCATATGGTTGCCTCTTCTTTTCTGCTATTATGAATGGTGCAGCTATGAACATTTGTGTAGAAATTTTGGCTTGGACAACTGTTTTCAATTTCTTTGAACATATTCCTAGAAGTGGAATTGCTAATCATAATGTAACTATGCTTAACACTTAAACATTTAAATATATTTAATTAATTTTAAAATTTATTTATATGCAATTTTAAGCACATAATGATACTGCCCTTACTCTCCTTGTATCTGCTGGGATCCCATATGCACATTGGTTCATATCCCCACTGCCCCATTTCCCATCCAGCTCATTGCTTATGTTGACTTTGGCCCAAAGCCTTGGGATCATGTACACATGTGGGAGACCTGGAAGAAGTTCTTGGCTCATGTGTTTGGATCAACTCTGCTCTGGAGGCTGTGGCCACTTAGGGAATTAATCAGCAGATGCACAATCTTTCTCTCTGGCTCTCCTTCTCTCTATAAATCTGACTTTCAAAGAAAAAAATTTCAAAACACCAATTCTTATAATCATGTCTCCTTATGGCCTTGGTGCTGTACATACTAAACTCCTCTGTCATTTTACATTTATTGGTTCTATAAAATCACTTGATCATGGAAATAATGAAAAAGTGTATCCTTTTATAATGTCATTGAGTACTAAAGGAAACCCAATGATTATCTTGGGAATCTGTCAGACTCTGTTTACTCCTGATTAAAGGGTCAAACCTTAGTACAGTTATTTCAATTTAGAGGTTTCTTCCTAGTGGAATAGGTAATGCCTGAAACTATGGCTTACTGACCTGTATCTGGCCTATAAATTTTACTCAAACCTACTCAAACATTTATCTACTTAATTGCATAACTACAATAGTAGATATGCACATTTTCATAGAAATATGTCATAGAGAGACGGAGAGGCAGAGACAGAGGGAGGGAGAGAGAAAAATTGGAAGAGAGAAAAATTGGAAGAGAGAGTGTGAGAGAGAGAACTTCTCAATTACTATTTGAAACACTTTTAATATGTAACTCCTTTAATATGACTCTTTGCAATTTGTTTCTTTCCCCTAGAAATTTTTCTTTAAGTCTGTCCTTGCTTTGTTTGTTCCTTACACATTGTTTACTAGTAAATTATATGAATGCTTTTTAGGTTTTATTTTTCATGATACATTTCCATAGGCTCAGAGGAAATCCTTGACGCCCTGTATTTGACATGAGTTCATCAGGTATCTTGAAGGTCTTTTTATTTTTCTGGAAATTGTGCTTTAAACTGGAAATAAAATCAGCTGCATTACCTTTAAGCCTTCCGGTCCTGGCTCACCTACATTCCCCTTCTGACCTGGCTTTCCCTGGAAGAGAACATAATAAAACAGATATGTTTACTTATCCTAATTATTGAAAATTTGCTGAGACTTATGAAATTTAGACTATTACAAAATGAAACACATAAAAATCATCTGGAAAGTATATTTTACTGTGCTCTTTAACCCTTCAGTACACATTTACTCTAGGCGCTAAGGTTTGAAGAGTACACAAATAAATTGCCTCTAAAGAGATTATAATTTAATAAGCATGACAACATTTTAAAACTAAACTGAAATGTAAAATATCTGAGACAGTGATAATCAGGAAGGAGAACAAATTCAGCAGGGAAGGGAGACACAAACTGCTGTTGTCTTTTATTGAAACTTTTTAGATATTTCTAGGGAAAAACTTTACTTAAATGGTTTTATGAGTAATGACAAAAAGTAAAGGATGGGTTCAAAGGATGTCTGAGGGAAGAACCTTGCAGAGAGAGGAAATGAGCATGTACAGAGGTAATGTGGCAGGGATACATGTGGTGAACTGGAAGAAATACGAGGTCCCATATCATGGGAGAAGGATTCAGAGCAAAGATCAGATAAGCCCAACCAGGGATAGTGACTGTGAATCCAGATCATATGGGACTTTCTACGTCAGTGTAGAGGCTTGTGCTTTTACTGAGAGATAGGAAACCTTAGAGGATTCTGGAGAAGAAAAGAGACATGGTGTGGATTTCAGCAGGATCACTCTGATGCAGGAGCAGGAGTCCAAATGGGAGTCTATCACAGTAGCGAGTGACAGATGACGGTGGCACAGATTGGGTGGTGGCACAGCAGGCTGTGGGAAGACAGAAGATTCTGGATATAACTAAAGGAGAGCTTCCAAGAGCTGCTGGTGAGCTACATATGCAATAAGAGAAGGAAGAGTCCAGAACAAACTCAAGTTTTAATTGAACTGAATGACCATATGAAATGGGCAAAACTGTGAGAAGAAGATATAGAGTTATATATAAGCTGAGTTTTAGACATTTTAGCTTTATATATTCATTAGGCACCTAAGCGTAGGGTTCCTGTCGTATTACATGAAGACCAGTGGTCATAGAGTGAAAGTACTATTTTGAAGATATACTCATGGAAATCAACAATGCATTGATGATATTTAAAGCCTTAATACTAGACAACCTCATTTCAGCAGTGATTAGTCACAGAAGAGAGAAGTCCTCACATTAAGACTTTGTGCAGTACAAAGTTTATATTTTAAAGAAACAAACAAAACAAATTTGATGATTAATAGGAGAAAATCATACAAGCAAAAAGGTATTTCTTTTCCCTAATTATTATTATTATTGTTATGATTATTAGATACAATTCCATAGAGTTCCATAGGCACGGGGATTTCCCTGACTCCCTGTGCAAATCCCCTCCTCTACACATTGATTTCCCCTATATTATTTCCATAATATAGTTATTCATAAACAGTCATATGTCCATCAATGTGAGCATAGACAATGGCAGAAAGTCCAACATCTCATTGTCAAGTTAAATTTAACAGCTCCATTGGGAATCCATATTTAATCTGGAAGTAGAGATGCATACTGCATTGTATCCTTACATCTGTATATGACAGTATCTATTACAAGTTACTCTACATCCCCTTAAATGAAAAGTCACAAAATAAAATCAATGACAGGAAGAAAAATAAAAATTTACAACACCATGAAGTTAAATAAAATGCTACGGAATGACTAATTTGACTCTAAGGAACTGAAAAAGAAATCAAGCACTTTCTTGAAGAAAATGATATGACTGTGTGATCTGTGAGTCAGTGAAGAATTTAATTTGAGGAAAAAAGTATTTTGAAGAAATGAAAATAAAACAAAAACATTAAAATCCTTTATATAGTTTCTGCTCATCTCTGTTGGTGAAATGTGTCTCTTGTAGGCATGCTAGATGGGATTTAATTTTAATCCAGTCTACTTATCTTTGACAGTTGATTGATGGGTTTAAGTCATTTACACTTAGGGTTAATATAAATAGGTGGCAATTTGGTCCTGTCATTTTAACAATGAGTTATTCATTATTGGATTTATTCTTCTGTTATGATTTTACTGGGGTGCTCTGTTACGTTTGCCATTGGTTTTGGTGGGTGCTATTCCTCTTTGTCAAGAGAACATCTTTAAGTATCATTTGTAGGGCAGGTCTATAAGAAGCATATTTTTTGAGCTTTTCATTATTGTGGAAGAATTTTATTTCATTTTCAAAGACAAAGGAAACCTCTCCTGGGTACCTTATTGTGGGCCAACAATTTTTTGCTTTTAGAAGCTGGAATGTGTCACTCCGTTGTCTTAGAGTTTCCTGTGAGAGGTCAGCTGTGAGTCTGATTGCGATTCCTCTGTAAGTCACTTGATTTTTTTTTTTTTTTACATGCACATTTAAGAATCTTTTCCTTATGTTTGATTGAAGAGCGCTTGGTTATATGTGTTGTGGTGAGTGATGCTTTGGTCATTCCTGTTGGGAGTTCTGTGCCTCTGGATGTTGTTTCCCCTTTCTTTCTCGACTACGGAAGCTATATGATATATTTTCATTGGAATATAGCTTTAAACCCAGCTTCTCTTTCTCCACTTTCTGAAACTCCCATAACTTTTAATTTGGTCTCTTAATAGTGTCTCTTAATTCTTTTTTTTTTTTTATTTATTGTTGCTTACATTGTATTATGTAGTACAGTTTTATAGGCGCTGGGGATATCCGCCACCTCTATCCCCCATGGTGGGATCCTCACCTTGGTGCATAACCATAGTTCAAGTTCAGTTAGATTCATTGCTTGCAAAACACCTGTCGCTCATGTTCAGCGTCTTAATTGTCCAGCTAGTTCAGTGGCCTCTTGGGGAGACCTACTATGGTCTGACAGATAGGTCTAAAGAGTAAAGTCGGTCAGTTAAAAGCCCAACAGGCCTCAGTATCACTATAAACTCTTATGGAACTTAAATTGACCATAGTATTGGAAACAATATGTTAAAAAATAATGCAAGTTCCATTCTTCCGCCAACATCTGGTTGAGCAGTTTCAATGCGAAGGTTCAAAGTAACACAACAAACAAAAAATTACAGGTTAAGTGTCTCTTAATTCTTGAATACATATTTTAGCTTGGACCAGCTCTACTTCCAGCTTTTTTTTTTTTAGAGATTTATTTATTTTTATTACAAAGTCAGATATCAGTCAGGGGCACAGGACAGAGAGGAAGACTTCCATTGTGGGTTTTCTCTCCCAAGTGAGCACAAAGGTTGGTGGCTGTGCACCCAAAAGTAGGAAACCGGTACTTTTTCGCTCTCCCCGCAGGTGCAGGGTCCCAAGCCTTTGGGCGTCTAGATGTTTTCCTGGGACACAAGTAGGGATGTGGTGGGCCGTGGGCTGGCTGGACCAAAACCGGCATGTTCAAGGTGAGGACTTTAGCAGCTAGGCCATGCCACTGGGCCCTCTACTTCCAGCTTTTTGATTGTTTCCCTGTTGTGGCAAGAAATATTTTTCAATTCTGAGATTCTTTCTTCTACATCATTCATCCTGTTATTAAGACTTTTCATTGATTTTTTAATTTGCTCTACTGTGATCTTCATTTCTAATATTTCTGCTTAGTTTTTTTCAGTGTTGCTATTTCCTTTGTGACATATTCCTTAAACTCCTTGAATTCCTGCATGTGCGATCCATTGTTGATAAGAAGCTTTATAACAAGTTTTTAAAGTTTTTTTTTATCCCCTATGTTCTCAATTTATTTCCTCAGTTAACTCTGGCGGATGCCACGGCTTTTGTACTGTGATGGGCGTCATCAGAACTTATAAAGTGCTGTGTCTCTTGCTCTAGGTCACTGTACTTCTGGTTTTCAGATACTTCTCCTTAGGATGGGTTTCTAAAGCTCTGTCACCCACAGGGCTATGGTTTGATTTTACTGATTGCTTTTGATAAGCAGTTCTTTGTTTGCAGTCACTTGTGCCACTCCCTCCAGTGACTTTCAGTTGTTTTTTTTTTTTTTAAGATTTATTTATTTGTATTGGAAAGTCAGATATACATAGAGGAAGAGAGACAAAAAGGAAGATCTTCCGTCTGATGATTCACTCCCCAAGTGAGTGCAATGGCTCACCACTCTACCTCCTGTGATCCTGTGCTGTAGTTGACCATTATCTTTATAACCTTTCTCCCTCTTCTGGTTCAGACAGTTCCCAGGATTGAGAAGACTCCAGGTATCATAAATTACTACGTTGTTGGTGGTGATGATCTTGCTAGAACCTGGTGGTTGTCAAGTCTGAGGGCTACCCAGACCTATTTGGACTCGTATGATACCAGAGTCAGTATTATTTTTGCTGTGAGACCAATGCAATGCACTGATCTGGAAGTGAATATGCTCCCAGCTCAACACATATGCATTGCTTTTGCTATACTGCACAAAATAGTACCTGATATGTCACAGGTAGAGATCTGGATCTTCTGGTCATTAGGTCTGTTGGCTACCTGGACCTATTTTGAGTGGAATCTGTAATTTGTCCCATATTTGCAATTCACTGAGCCAGAAGTGAGTAAACTCCAATCTTAGTGCATGTGCAGTCCTGTCCCATAACCTTTGCTTCCCTACATCTAATACCACCATGAGGTCAGGTGAAGGTCGGGTGTGATATCTTCCTTGTTCCCCACACCTCTGTTTGAAATTATTGCTTGTTTCTGTCTGTTCACTCCACACACGCGGCCCGGCAGTCATCTGCAACCCCTCTCACGGCCGTAGTTTCAACCCCTTTGCATGGACACCCGGCCACCCACTGAGAATTCTGTAACTCATTGCAGCATTATTTTTGGCTAGCGAGAGGGTTATTTACTATTTACGGTGAGAGGAAGTTGATGTTGCTGATTTTAGTCTTAACCAAAGGGCCTATTTCCAATTCCTGAGTTTGATTGCTCAATTGCATCCATTAATCTTCGGGTACCCTCTGTGCAGCCTTTTTTCCCAACCTGAGACAATATTAAGATGTAGATGAGGACTTGTGTCAGAATGTATCATGATTGATCCCATGTCTGTTGAGAACTTCCTGATAAGGGTCAGGAAGGATCAAATCTGCTTAAAGGTACCCAACCGCCGAATTAGTCCTTGGAAAAAACACTTGGCGTGACCTACAAAGTCTGTGGCAGAGCTGTGATACTTCAGCATCAAACAAAGGGGACAATATATACTTGCATTTGTCCATTATGATAAGCCCTTGTCGTAGTCTTATTTCCTTTACTCTTTAGCCTTTTTATAACCTTCCCCGCACGTTCTCGAGTTCTGAACTCGCTGGCGTGGCCTCCTACCCATGGCACCAGTGGAGTTCAGCTCCATGCTTGCAAACTGTGCTGAGGGTCTCTGGTCACAGCCCCACCAGATGTTAGCAGCGATTTATGTCAATCATGCCAGGTGCACTTTGTCTCGGGAGTTGTACTTTCCTGTTTTCTGGAATGTGCCCTCTCTGCTTCACTTTGGCTAGTGATTCTGTCTGTTTAAACATGTCCTTACCCTATTCCATCATCTTTATTCTACTCAAGAAGGTATTTCTAAGAGAGAGTGATTTTGTCAAATCTAGAGGGATATGAGTGTTGAGAATATGAAGTGAAAAAATTGTCAGTAGAGGCCATGGAGGATATTTATGTGATTGTTTTCATTGGATTAGGTACCAAAACAATAAGGTAGAACAAGAGAAAAACTGATAAATGCATATATAGACAACATATTTGAGAAGCTTTACCTAAAAGGCAAAAAGACAAATGACTGGACTGGAAATGGGATAAATATAACTTACTCTTGTTTTTAAGCTGAAATAAATAAAGAAGGCCATATGTCCTCAATGAAGGAGAATGATATATATTTAATGTTGGTCTAACTCACACCGCTAAAGACATTTAACAAACGCAACCTAATTAAATTTGGTCACACAAACCAAAAGTTTTGATACTTTATTTCAGAACTAGAAAATAGTAATTCATATATATCACATGACTTTATGTGATGACAAAATGACAGACCATACTTATTTTGGCTTTCTATACTTTTATGACACAGTGAATAGTATATTTATATTCTTATTAAATTTTGAAGATTTTACAAATACTTTTCACAAACTACTGGTATCATTAAAAAAAAAAACCCAGACATATAGTAAGCATAAATTCATTCAAATTATACATAGAGAATTCATTATTGGCCTGTATTATTTCATGGAATTGTGTGGCTATAGCTTGTTTTAACTTTTATCCTTTGTCACAGTTTAAAATGTCATGCTATAAAAAAAAATCTCAGAACAGCACTTTTCAAGATAAGGAAGTATGAAAAACTAGTTCTATGATACTTACTCTAGGCCCCAGTTCTCCAAAGGGGCCCATTGGTCCTTCTTCTCCCTTAGGAAAGAAAAAAAAAATCAGAACATATGGTCTAAAGTATTTCAAAATATAAAATCTTATCCACTTTATTTTTAAAACAAGCTCACAGTAAGATTTGGTGGAAACAGTGTTTGAAGTTTTTACTATTTAGAATTGTATCATCTCACAATATTTAAATTTAATGTGGCATATCTATTACATGTATATATGTGCATATAATCATATTATGTATATAAATACCTTCATTATATGTATAATTAGATTACATATGTGTGTGTATGCACATATATGAAAGGCATGTATGACTGGATTACTTTTAATTTAATAGGACACACTGTGTCAAAGAGAGACCCAGACCACTAGATTTATGGCAGCACTTGTTACAACAGTCAAAGAATCAACCAAGGTCTTCATATAAGATGAATGGAGGAAGAAAACGTGGTATGTATACATATGAAACAAGAAATTATTGAAATGTAAAGCAGAATGGAATTCTATCATATGCATTAATACAGCTGCAAATGGAAAAAAACTGTATTGAATAAAATGTTAGATCAGAAAAATCCTGCAAACCAGAAAAACAAATGCCTATGTGTGTCACTAGTATTGTAGATATAGCTTTGTTGAAGCTTGTTTTACATATTTTTCAATTATTAAGAATAACATACAACTACAATTTTAATGAACTTGATTATTAAAAAATCTACTGTATGTGAGTTAAATTGTGTTTTGGTAATGATCTTTTTATTTTTACTTGTTGTATTCTTTAGTTAATGGAGGTTAAGCCTTTGACTAGGTATAATTTAAATTTTCATATTATTTCAAACTTAAAAAAGAAAAAAACAATTTACTTTAAAAATTAAAATTCATATAAAGAAATTGGGAGTTACAGAAAATGAAAGTGATTACAATCCAATGAAACCAGGAAGTATCACTTCTTGGATATTCTTTTACCTATTTTGTTTAAACATTTCTTTGATACGGGCAGGAACTCAACTAAGATCTTAAACATGGAATCAGAAAACATTGGTGCATTAAAAAAAACGACTTACCCAGAAGATATTTGTACAATATTTACATACTTTATTTACTCAATAAATATGGTTTGGGGTCTTAGTTCTGTCTGAAGATCTAAAGATAAAAGGACATTAGGTAGGTCCTATCCAGTTTGTGGCATAGTGGGTAAAACTGCTGCCCATGAAACTGTAATCCCATATGGATGCCAGATTGTGTCCCAGCTACTCCACTTCTCATTCAGTTCTGTGCTAATGCAGTGGGGAAAGCAGCAGAAGACAGTGCAACTTTTGGAGTCCTGCCACTCACAGAGAAATCCCTTGTTCCTTGCTTAGGCATGGACCAGCTCCAGCCACTGCAGCCACTTGGGGAGTGAACTAGCAGGTTTTCTGTGTCATTCCCTCAAAAATATTTTAAAACATTCTAATTTAATTTATTATGTTGTTTTATACTATATTGCCTATTAATTTTATTTATACTATGTTTTTATGAAAGAGAGTGAAAGGTAGAGAGCATGTGAGAGTTGGGGGAGGAGGGCTGGTGGATAGATAGAGAGCTTCCATTTGCTATGCACTTCTTAAATGCTAGGCTGGGCTTGGTTGAGACAACTCAATCCAGTTCTCCCACTGGGTGACAGGGACTCAACTGGAGCCATCTCTGGCTACCTCTCAGGGTATTCATTAGTAGGACATGGAAAGGGACGGGCAGCCAGCACTTGAAGGTAGGCATTCCAATATGCTATGTGGATGTCTCAAGCACTGTCTTCACTATTGCATCAACTGCCCCTACAGTTAATTACTGATTGATTTCTTGGTCCAATATCCTTGGGGCTAAGTCAGATGCAATATCATAAGATAATAAATTTTGATACACTATTGTGAAGATAAAAAAAATATATGGATGAAGACAGAAGATCAACACAGAGATAAAGAATTGCCATTATTTTCTAAGAGAACAAAGAAGTCATGAAGGTTTGTACTTCAGTTACAGTTATACTTAATAAATATATGAATTTCCTCCCTTTCAAATGAATAGTTGATGCTATCACATGCATTCAACATATATAGACCCTAGAATCAAATATATTACTTATTTGCTGAACATTTTGCTCAATTCATAATTTAATCAAATACTCACACACACTTGATTGGGTCACAAATAGAAAATAGTCATAAAAAGTAAAAGTAAGTTGTATATGAACTTTCAGCTTCAGTTTATCCAATAATCTTTTAGAGGTTACTGATATTAACTATTTAGTGAATTCAGAAAACTGTTGTATTCCACTCCATAAATGCCAACTTTAAATGGTACTGGGGAGAAGGAGAGCGAGGGAAATGAGGTTGTCTTTTTTTGGAGCCCTACCTATGAAATGAACAAAACCTGTTGTCTTGCTTTTAATAACTTTAAAAAATATATACATATATAAGTTAAAATCAATTATGCTAAACATTTTGCCACATGATGGCAATTTTTTTAACTGAAAGACTAAATTCTCACCAAAAATGGGAAATTTTGCACTGAAATAACTGTTCGGCATTTTTTCATTGCCTTCATACCTGAGTGCCTTTGAGGCCAGCAGGTCCAGGAGGCCCTCTGCTTCCAAGGAGTCCCTGTAAAAGCAACACAAGCACACAGAGTGAAAAATCTGGATCAGTCAGTTTTCATTAATTCAGAGATGGTACTGTTTGTATTATTCAGTTCCCATACAGATTGAAAATGAAGGTTAGCAAAATGAAATGGTAAGGTAGACAGTGAAAAAATGTAAGTCATCAAAAGAACTGAGAACAAGAAAAACATTTTATGTAGTATTTTAATGTGCACATACTTTTCTCAGTATGCTATACTGAAACATCTCTTTAGAAAAAGTATTCCAAAATTTAAAAGCAAGGAATCTAATTGCTAATCCATTAATAATTCAATAATATATAATGGAGTGTTCATGAAGTCTGAAAGCAGTTAGATGGCATGGATCTGTTATGATATCAAGAAACTTTGAAATTCATTTTCTTCCAGCTACAAGCTCATCAACATTTTCTTTATTGCTTTAAGTTATTAAAAAGAGAAAGCAACTTGCAAAACAAGGTGACAATCTAAGTCCGCAGGGTTTTTGAGACTATAAATTTTTGTTACATATAACCAAAAGAATCCTGCTTAATACGATGACTTCAAAAGGAAAAAAAAATTAATATTTAGGCTTAATGTAGTATAGAAGACTGTGACATTTTAATTCTACCATATGGTACCCTACCTTAAATTATTTGATTAATGTGCTTGCTAATCATATCTAACATGTTTCCATATCTAACATGTTTCTTATTTCAATTAATGTAAGACCCAATGAACAGAAAAGTCCCTAAAATATAACATATATATGACATAGTCTCTGTTTTCAGTGTATTTATAATATATATAGGAGATAGCCTTTTAAGAATAACAACTGAATAAAAATTGTAATAGAATAAAGGTATGTGTAGAATATAATGAATTTAAAATAAGAGTAAAAATTCCAGGGAAAATGAGAAAATGTATGTGTATATTGCTTTGTATTAATTCAGGACAAACTAATAAAAATTCTTGATTAAAATTAAGGTCAGATTATAATTTTAAACATTTTTAAGGGCTAGATTAGGTAAAAAAATATCTCATTCTATGCTGCTTACAACTAACTAAAACATAAATAATGCAGGAAGGTTGAAGTCAACTAATTAAAAAAGATACGCAAAGTATTTATCAGCCCAAAACACCTGAAGCAATTACAGTCACAGTAGGCTTAATAGACTTTACCATGAAGAGCATTAGAATTCTGACACTAATTTAAGCTAAAAATATCACTTCACCATGAGGAGTTCAAAACTGACAACTTTGTTTCTTGAGTAAATTCCAAATAAAAAAATAAATAATTGGTTAAGATGACTTGATAAGTTCACTGTCAGAAGTATAGATTCTGACACTGATTTCTTGATAATTAAGAGGTCAATCAGAGAATATCATAAGAGAGGAGTCTCACATATCAAAATTAACATGCTGGATATGAAGAACTATATATAAAACATTTTATCTCTGGAGAGTTTACACAGTCTTTGCAAGCATACATGGGACATCTATGAAGGCGAATCATAAGAAAATGATACATGTCTATTATTAATATAATCAATCAATTACAGCTGTATAATCAGCTACAATACCATACAGATTGAAAATGAGCAGCGTATAATTTCATGCATCAAAATTGAGAAGATTGAAGGGAAGAAGGCAGTGCTTAAAGAATATATGTATGTATATACATATTGTGATTACATTTATATTAATGTCCAAAACATGAAACAGCATGTTAGTAGGAGCATACATGTATATTGGCAAAAGCATAGCAAAAACAGAGTCATCATCTCTACATGCAGATAGGGAAGAAGTAGACACTATAAGACAGGAACACACAAGTGACTTCCAAGGTTCTATTTAAACCTTAATGATTCTTGCTTTCTGTCCTCACTGTTTCCATATTTATACTACTTTAATGTAAAAAAAATTTCTTCTTACAAAATACAGAACTAGGAGTTGAGAGTATAAATTCTTTATTTCCAACTATTCAAATGTGAATGAATTTAACTCCCTAAATACATACAGGGTGGGTGAGGGGTTAAAAAATTAGTTCTAAATAAACTATATAAGAGAGTTTAAATTTAAGGACAAATAACAGTATCAAAACTGAAGGGAGAAATAAACAGCAATACAATAATGGATATTTCCACACCTCGATTTTCAATAATTGATAGAATATCCAGACAGAAGTTCAGTAAGGAAATGGAACCAGTACTACAGTTAGCCCTCTGTATAAAAAAAGCCCTCTGACTTTGGGTTTCTGTATCTATGGATCCAATTAACCACAAATTGGAAATAGGAAAAAAATTTAGTCTGTACAGAACACATGCAGACTATTTTCTTTGTAACATTCTCTGAATAATATAGTACAACAATGAGGCCATTTTACATAAAGTACTTGATCACCCAAGGATCTTGAAAACCAAGTGTCTTTAAATCAATTCCCATGGATGGTGAGTGAAGACCATATTACCCATACAGACATGAGAAACCAATACAGAGTATTCTCCCCAAAAGCAGCAGAAAATAAATTCTTTAAAAATACATATAAAATACTCTCCCCAATAGGTCACATGTTAAGTCACAAAACAAGTCCGACAAAAATAAAGAAGACAAAAATCAAAACAAGTGTCTTTTCCAATGGCAATGGAAAACTTGATATCACTAGCAAAAGGAAAACTGGCCCATATTTATCACTTCTATTAAAAATATAATGGGGCTGGCATGGTAGCCTAGTGCTGAAGTCCTCATCTTATATGCACCAGGATCCCATTTGGGTGCCGGTTTGTATCCCAGCTGAACCATTTCCCATCCAATGTCCAAGCTTGTGGCCTGGAAAAGCTGTTGAAGACAGCCCAAATCCTTGGGACCATGCACCTGTATAGGAGATCCAGATGAAGTTCCTGGCTCCTGGCTTTGGATTGGTTGAGCACCGATCTTTGCAGCTACTAGGGCAGTGAACCAGCAGATGTAAGATCTTTCTCTTTGCCTCTTCTTCACTCTGTAAATATGCCTTTTCAATTAAAAATAAATAAATCTTATATATATATAAGATTTGTATATATATATATGATTGATATATATATACACAAACACACATATATATTTCCAGATAGAAGTGATAGTGTAAGAAGAAACAAAAGGAATTTAAATTGTAAAGGATGAGGTGAAATTATCAGTTTGCAGATGACATAATGGTATATGTAGAAAATTCTAAAAATCTGAGGAACCACTGCAAGAAATAATAACTGGGGGCTGCTTGTGTCTGCTGCCTGTGGTCTCAGCATCGCATATGGGTGCCAGTTGGAACACTGTCTTTCACACTCCAGTCCAGCTGCCTGCTAATGCTCTAGTAAAGAAGTAGAGGATGGCCAAATTCCTTCAGCCCATTCCACCCATGTGGGAGATCCGGACTGAGTTTCAGGCTTTTTCAGCTTGGTCCAATCCTGGCCATTGAGGCCACTGTAGCAGTGAAAGACCAGAAATAAGATCTCTCTCAGCCTTTCTCTCTTGTTTTCTATTTCTATCTCCCTTTCTCTTTGTAACTCTGCCTTTCAAATAAATAAATAAATCTCTAAGAAAGAAATAATGAACAATTCCATCAAAGTTGCAACATTTAAAATCCATACATATTCCTATATACTAACAACAAACAATCTAAAACAGAAATTAGGAAAACAATCTATTATATTGACATTAAATACTTAGGGTTGAATTTCTCCACCAATAAACTAAGAGACTTATAGATTAAAAACAGTAAAATACTGTCAAAACAGATTTAAGAAAACATATAAATAATTGTGAAGACATCCTGTGTTCATGGATTGAAAGACACCTCTGTTAATATGTCCAAAACACGGAATGTGATCAGGAGATTTAATGCTATCTATCACAAACCCCAGGGACATTTTTTTTTTTTGCAAGAAATAGGAAAAATTACCTAAAACTGACAGAACTGCGCTAGACACGAAAAGCCATAACAATTTTTAAAAAGAACAGAGCTGAAAACATAATACTTTTTGGCTTCAAAGTGAGTTACTAAGCTACAATACTGAAAATGTTGCAGAACGTGCATAAAAGCAGTTGTATAAAGAAGTAGGAAAGAATGCATGATACCAAAGCAAACCTCACTGGTAGTCAAATGATTTTTGATGAGGATGGCAAGACAAATAAAAAAGAAAAAATAGTCTTTTCAACAAAGAGTTTTAAGAAACTTGTATATTCACTTGGAAAGACTGAAATTGCGTCATTTTTTTACATCATACACAAAAATCAACTAAAACGATTTATAGACTTCAAAGTAAGTCCAGAAGAAAAGACAGGTTACTACATTGGTTACATCAACAATTTCTTGGCTCTAAAACCAAATGCACCAAGAACAAAAGAACGACAGACAAATGGGACTATAAAGCAAAATAGGCAAATGGGACTATAAAATTTTTAAATCTTCTCTATAATCTGCAGAATGAACAATATCAAAAACAAACTGATTGAGAATGGACAAGGACCCAGCACAATGACTCCATTGGCTAATCCTCTGCCTGTAAATGCTAGCATCTCACAGGGATGCCATTTCTGTCCTACTTGTTCCACTTCCCATCTAAGTCCCTGCCTGTGGCTTGGGAAAGCAGTGGAAGATGGCCCAAAGCCTTGAGAGCCTGTACCCACAAGGATGACTCGGAAGAAGCTCAGAGTTCCTGGCTTTGGATTAGCTCACTTCTGGCCACTGGGTCCATTTGGAGAGTGAAGCAGCCAGTTGATGGAAGATCGTTATCTGTTCTTTCCTCTGTGGGTCTACATTTCCAATAAAAATAAATAAATCTTTAAAAGAAAAGGAAAATGAGCTAAGCAGATAAGTAAATAACCTTATTAACAATGGACAAAGAAGCCTGGGCGTTTCCCCTAAAGTATTAAAAAAAAGGGTCTCAAAGACATACTTGGTTTCTTATGTTCACTCTAGGCTTACTTAAAATAGTTAAGAAGTATGAGTAACTAAATGTCCACTGAGGGAGAAACAAATAAAGGAAATATGGTACTTGCAAACAATGGAATTCTATTTTGCCATAAAGCAGAACGTTTTGTCATATGCTACAATATGGATGAACTCTGAAGATGTTACATTAAGTGGATACAACAAATACTTTATAATTCTACTTATATGAGGTATTGAAAATAGTCAAAATCATAGAAGCAAAGAGTAGAAAGGTGGTTTCTAGAGCCTAAAGATAAGGGGCAAGAGAGAACTGCTCCAGGAGGTGCTGTGTTTATACTGCAAGATAAAATGCTTCTAAAGATTCTTATTCTGCACACAAATGTACATTCATTTTAAGAGTTACAATGCTGCACTGTGTATGGAAACATTTGTTAAAATAATGAATCCCATGTTAAAAACCACACATGTACACATATACATGCATGCACAACTTTCCATGTGAATTATTAATATTCACTTTCCATTGTATTATTAGTATTCAACTTTCTTAACTTTGTTTAATATGTCACATTCTGTTCCTTGTGTTTTAAAAGTCAGATTTACTTCTGCCCTCTTTGAATATGCTTATTTTCTACCTGTTACACAGACTACCTCACTCCTTTGCTCCACTTGACTAAATGTAAGCAATTCAATTCAAATTCCAATTCTTCCACAAAGTATCTCAGAAAATGACTACATGCATTGGTTTTCTTCCAATCATAACTGCTCATTTATCATAAGCTGCCCAATTATTATGCTTCTTAGCTTTTTCAGATATGGAAACCTCATGTTTCTAGACGATTGTAAGTTTCTATTACACAGAGACCACACTTTAATCTTGTTTTCAAGTTACTACTTACATTACAAACAGTAACATAGTGGAGTATCTGCCCACTGGACACAACTAAATACACATTCTCAACCAACTCAGTGCTTTCTACAGATTAAAAGAGTCACTATAAAGATCTCTGTGAAAATTATGATGTAGAATCACTTCCTCTTGGGAAGTTAGCTCACGTTTATACAGGTAAATACATGACATGTAATAATTCACTATGAGAGCTATTTCCCTACATTATGAAATACCATTTCACTAGTAATAGATTTTCTTTGGAAACGTACAGAGGTTGGAGAGATTCATAATGGAGACTGTCTTTAGCATTCCTGATTCCACAGAGCATGAAACACATTACTCCTCTGCTTACTGGATACTCAAACGTTTTGCAATAAGCGGCAAAGGATTTCTTTTTTTTAGTGTTATGAGATTGTCAAAAGCCAACTGACAAATGGGTCACTCTCAAGAAAGCTTACTGACATATGTTTGTTTCTTATGCACAGATATATGTACACATACAACTCCACAATGCATAGAATAATTAACATAAATTTCCTTAGTTTGAGATTTTTCTGTCAACTGGCATAAAATAAAAGGCTTCTTTAGAGATGTGCATTCTCTGAATACATTTTTTTGCAAATCAGATAATACATATTTCATATTTTAAATACAGTATGCAAGTTTTTCTTGATATTCAACATATGTGAGCTCAGCAGGACTTCGACAGCTTATGTTATCTCCACTTTTCAAAAGCAACTTCTTTGGAAAAAAGTTGTAAATGCTTCCATGATATACAGTACACAGCTAAAAAAAAAATGTAACATTAACAGACTCACTAAGTTAGGCTCTGTTTCCAGAAACAATTTCTAGGCATACGGGATGTTTCAAGAAGATAAGTAGAGACACCCTTCATTATCTTTTTTTCTTTTTAGTCTTTCTGGTTCTTTTCTTTAAAATCATCCTTTCTGTGATACTGTTTTAAGATTCAGTGATGTGTATACAATTGATTTATCTCCCCTTGTTGCTGCTGCTGAAACTATAAACTCATGTTTTTTGAATACATTTAGATCAAGTAATCTACACAGTAGTTAATAATCACCAAAAAAGTAACCACTGTTGTTCATTGAAGCGTGTAGCTTTTTAGCCTTAGATTCAGTTTTAATGTTTCAATCTTATGATTGATAGAAGTAGCCAAAAGGAAGACTTAAAGATCACTGTTTTAATTGCAGCCATTTGGCTTTCTTCAGAGTAAAGAAAACAAAATCTCTGAACTTTAAGAAATTTTCAAAACTGTTTTTTTCACCTAGTATGGTGTACACCCTTCAAAGCATTACAAGGTCAGTGCCTACACCCCCAATGTATTTCCTACTTTCTCACAACAGAATCTGCTGTACAATGACCGAGGCTCTTACAGCCCTCTATTAATCCTTTTACATAAAACTTCTCATACTCTTTGATAGCTTCCTTTTGTATTTCTCAATAAGTTGTCATATCACTGAGGAATCAATTTTTATGTCTTCCTCAGTGTCTGAAAATGCTCCTCCTCTCCTGAGTTTCCGATTTAACTTCCCTGTTTCAGCTAAATGTCATTAGTGACCCAAGTCAGAGCCTCAGTTTTATGTTTAACTTCTCTTTATTCCATTACTTTCATTTAACTAACTGAAGACATTCTGTCTCCAAAATAGTTCTCAGCTATGATCATTCAATCACATCAACGACTCAACCAATATTTGTTTAATTCCTATTATATGCTATATATATCATTCTGGTAACAAAGACGTGCATAGAATCAATTAATCTCTCTTCCTTCAAAAAGCTTAAAGTTTAATAATGATACTAATGAGGCATCAGCTGTTTTCATATGAAAATACAGGTGCGTGTATACATATACAAATACATATGTCTGGGAAGACATATTTCATTTAGATTTGAGAGGATCTGGGAAGCCTCCCAAAGTGCTATGAGCTGTAAGGATGTTAGCTAAATAAAAAATGCTGTACTGCAGTCACATACCCACACACACAAAAATCAGCAAAGTTAAGGGCTTTCAATGTGTATGGCATGCTGTGATATCCTAAATGCTGTGATCGAGATAACTTTGGGAAAGTGATGGCAGATGTTGAGTAAGTGACAATAAAGTTGTAGAAAAGGTTTAGGTCATGGAGAACCTTGTCTAACAAGGGAGGCAAAGGGCAAGCCGTAGCAAGAACTCTGTAGAGATGACTGAGTCATTTAGCGCAAGAGTGAAATGGCGACATTTGTACTTCATGAAGATAAATGCACCAGTAGCTTGGCAGTGTGTGTGGAGCATTGATCAGACTGCCTTACAATTAGCGTCTGCCACACTGATCTTGCTAAAACATAAAGAGGGCCAAAATTACAACATAAGAATGACTTTCAGAGCAAAGACAGGAAATTCTGAGTCAAATTAGAGATTGAGATAAACGTGATAACTGATGGCAAGAGGTTGTTTGGAAGTCAGGAGGGGATTTGACGTAATACATGGGGAACATGAACAGACAGAGGATAATTCCATGGAGATAGAGAAGGAAAGGTCATTGAATTTAGGGCTGTTTATAGCTTTTCCACATAAAAAAAAAAGCTGGAATACACAGATGAATTTCAATGTCAGATAAACAATGGTAATTTTAGCATAATTATTTCCCAAACATTGTGCCTCCATTCCTTCACAAGTTTCTTTTTCCTGAGTGCCATTTATCTCATTTGTCTGCTCTGCATGTTTCTACTCCTTCACTGTAAAATCAAGCATTGTCTTTCCTGTGATCTGTGTTCTTACAATATCCTATATTATAATTATTAATTCAGATAATTAGAAAAGCCTTCCTCTTGTTTTTCTCTAGATTTTAAATATCTTGAAATTTGGAGTAAGATTCTTTCATCATGGTGGCCCTACAGCTTAGAACAATGAATGTCTTATTTAAGGCGGCCAACAAATATTTTTGAACAAGTGGGTGTCCTAAGTCAGTTCTTTCTTATGCCTTTTCTCCAAACCATCTTTCTCACTGGCATGGTAACTTTTAAAAAAGTTTGCCAACTAAGATTTTAATAATTAATTAAATATCTTTAATTACTTCATGATGTCCAATAGGATAAAGGAGAAACACTTCAGCATTTTACTGAATGCTCTCAACAATTCAAACCAAAACTGAATGCTTAATATCTCAGACTTTGAGATCACATACATGCTAGAAGTGTAACTATAATATGTCTTTCAATGAATTATTTAACCATTTATAAATAACACAAACACACCTTCACATGTTGATGCAAAAAAGCAATGTTTTTGAGGCATGTTCTATAGCTCCAAATTCACTGACACTTCAGCACACCAACACAGTTATTTCATGTATCCCTGTAGCTTCATTTATCATTTACTGTCTATGCAGTTATCTTCCACAGCATCTGTAGTTCATAACTTACAAATCCTCCGAAGTTCAACCTATTTAGTCACGTTACTTACTTGTTAATGATGTCCAGCTTGCATGGTACCCTGCAGGGCAAAGCCTGGCATTGAACATTTTGTGATGGGTAATTTCTAGTATCCATTTATAACAATAGTTAAAGATAAAAAGGCTTTAATGTCTTCAGATACTCTGTGCTGGAACATGTTCCAAAGGTTCCAAAGCACTGTAGGTTTCCTCTCTCTCTCTCTCTCTCTCTTTTTTTTTTATTATACTTCATAGCTCCTAAATAGTTTACAGGATTAGAAAAAAATCTCATTTGTTTATTGCAAGCTCTATCTTCTCCTCCCTATAACTTCCAAGATACCCTTTTGCTCTAGGTTGAGTCCACACCAAATCAGGAAAATTGTCTTCAATTACTTAATTCTGAACTCCGAAAGAAGTTTATTGAAAACACCCAAGACAGCTCGAAAAATTACTCAGGAATATCCTGGTATATCTAAGGCCTTTCCAAACATGCTTTGAGAACTTAGATTAGAAACCTCTATATAACTATACTTCAGTGTCCTTACGTCAATCTTTTTTTTTAATTTTTTTTTTTTTTTACCTTCAGTCCTTCGGGGCCATTTTGTCCAGGAATCCCAATATCTCCTGGAAAACCCTACAGAACAGAAAAATGTAAAGGGTTTATTCCATAGAAAATCACTTTCAATAAATTACCATATAAAAATTAGATTTGCCTTTCCTTTATGTTCAGTTGAAGTAATGTATATTCTTCATAACCTCAATATTAAAAAATTGTTATAATAGACAGCTGTACAACATGGAAATACAAAGTGTATAAAGTCTACTAAAACGAAATTGGCTTCACCAGTTATTCACAATCTTTAGACCTGAATAAAATCGTGTAATCCAGAACAAGATGGTAGAAATCTTACTAAAAAAATCATCTTCAGTTTTGAAATAAGGCATAAAGGTGTGCGACATGACCTTCCAAAGGAAAGCAGGATACTAGGCCATCCAGGTTTAGATGAGTGTCCTTTGTTAGAATCATTACGAATTCACTACATGTTAATTACCAGATTTTAAATACTTCATTTATTTAAGAGGTAGAGAGATGGAGTTGTTAGCCAATGGTTTGTTGCCCAAAACTGACAGTAGCTCCTGCCTGACGAGAAGACAGGGCTGGCCACTGAATCGTGGTCTTCCTCATGTGTGATAGCCCCCTACTTGAGCTGTCACGTACTGCCTGCCAGAGTAAGTATACAGAGAAAGCTGAAATAAGAAGCAGAGTCCAGACTCAAATGCAGCACTCTTAATATGGGATGTGTGCATTTTATGTGGCATCTTAGTGCCAGGGTAGACATTGTAGATTTTCATTAGGCTTCAGATACAAACAACTTAAGTTTGGATAAAGAAAAAAAATCCTCAAAGATTATGGCTAAATCAGTTTTGTAACTAATCCAACAATTTTATCCTTACATCTCATAATTAATTAAATTTAAACTTGGCTCCTCAAATGCTCTTAAATTCAACATTTTGCTAGTTTTCTCACTGACTAATGAGTTAAATAAAATCTTAAGCCTGTGTACACTTCATATTTGAGTGAGCATCATTTTATCTTTTAGGAAATTGCAGTCACAGTCTAAAACAGTTGGCTCAAGAAAAAACTGGAACAGTGTTAAAGAAAATCTGTATTGGGAGAAGGCCTAGAATGCTCTCAAATGGTTACATCAAAAGTTTTGTTGAAATTATGACTAATGGGTTTGATTTGTCATGATCAATTTCAATAAAGATGATCACCTCATAACTGTGGTTTAACTTGCATTTATTTTTTTGAAACTTAAGCTGTTCTTGTGTTTTCCACTGATGCTGGCAAAGGAAAACAAGGCTAAGACAAATGTAAGCATCAGCGTCTACGAAAGTAAAGGCTGAAAATAAAACATCATTGTAGGCAAGAAGAGGCATTTCAGTAGAAGTGTAAACACAAGGGGGATAGAGATTTCCACAGGTATGAAACAGGAAGGGTAATTCAGTGATACTCATTCTGGGAAGAAAAATAAGAAAGTGATGCCAAAATTAATTTCATTGGACTAAGACAGAAACATCATCACAAATTAAATGCCAGACTTAAAACTTGGATTTTTGGAGAGAATTATGACTTTGGGGTATTTCTCGCACACACACACAAAAACAGTGGTAATAGAAAAGACTAATTGCAGTAATGGATTTTGGAAGTGCTGGAATAATAACACAGGTATGTATCATACAGACTTTGATTGATTTACTAATTAAGGGGATTTAGATTCAACTTCATTAGCACTTGTATATACAATTTAAAAAATCAAATGCTTTTCTCTAAAATTTCCTAAATTTTCTCTTAAACACTCTCTTGGTACACTTGGTGTGGGCAAAATCCCTGTGGATCCTTGTGGTCCTTCTGTTTTATTTTCTGCAATAATAGTAGTCAGCTGTTCAAAATTGAATCCAAAATACCGTTTGCAACACTTCTCCCTCATCTTGTGTTCATTACTCGAATGGCTAGTACTTCAATACACAAGTTTCTAAGTGAAGAAGCTGTGCATCATCTCCAAATAGTGGTTTTCCCTTCTTTTTTTTTACTTTCTTCTAATAACTTTTATGCAACCCTAGGGTGTGGCAAAGTCACTTTTGTTTTTTGTTTCTCTTATTTTCCTTGTCAGATATAAACCACTTGAATGCATTTTTATCTAATATTCACTACCATATTCCCAGAATCTAATAAAATACCTGGCTCATCAAATGTTTTAAATTTTTTTTTTTCATTATTGGATGACAGGATTTTTTTCTTTTGAAAATAAAGACATGTTTGGTAGTTACTTTTGACCCCAATGCACTGGTTTATGAATGTATAAGAACCTGGTTAGAAACCATCCCTCTGCATAAATTTCACTTTCAGATAAGCCAGAGACACTATGTTACACAAGAAAACAAGTAAGCCATAAAAGTCATCAAAATTAGAGACATTTTACAAAAACCCAGGTGATGCTAAAAAGGTCAGATATGGGAATGTGAACATTGATAAGGATAACAGCTGCAATGAATTTACACATGGCAAATACACATAAATTCACAAGTTCATAATAAACTCACATACAATAATAACTGTCCATATTCTGAGAATGAAAGGGAACTAATTCATTCTTTAATGAACTGCACCACTAGTAACCAAACAGCAGACAAGAAATATTCCAGCCAGTAAGTGAATATGTAAATGACAGACCAAGAAAATCTTTATTTTGCAAGTCTACAAATCCTCTAATGGATCCAAGCAGCAAGCATCATCAGTTACCAACATGACAAAGTGGGGATTACTAGACACATGCTTTCTAGTGCCAGGACAGACTATCACAATCTCGGCACAAACAAGGACAGAACTAGACCTCTGCAATGTGACTACCAATTTGCTAGAAAAACACAGGATCAAGAAACCTAGAGGCTAAGAGATTTTGTAAGAGGAGAATTTGTTTTGAAACAGGAATCCAGGTAATAGTCATAAGGTTTTGTTTTCTAGCACTCATACAAGTACATGCCATGTTAGTAATGTGGTCAGTCCAAAGAGGAAAGCAATTAAAAAAAAAAGATTAAAATGCCTTTTTCTGAGTGAGACTAATCTGCCCAAACGCTACTGCCAAAAAAAAAAAAAAAAAAGTAAAGGAAAAAAGTAATAAATTCACTTTCTCAGTACACTAAAGAAATTAAACTTCAGCATAGGGCAGCATACAAGTTGCAAGTGAAGGAACTTCTCTGTCTTGAGAAAACCACAGAGAGAATATATGGACTGTGGAAAAATAAATCAAATATCCATTTGTATTCTTCTGTTGTTTTAAATCTAAAACGTCATCATAACCAGATTTTAAGAACTATGACATGGTTGAAAATATTGCAATTGAGCCTTGCTACTCTATTATTTTCCCTTTCATAATACTCTACAGTTCAGCAGAAAATTTAGCATAACTGCATTATCCAGTAGTTAAATTCTAATATTCTAGCATAGAAAATTCACAAAGCACTAATAACAATATTTCATAAAATTCAACATGCAATCCCTGTTGCTCCAAATAAGACTTTGCTGAACTAGTATTCACAATTTCTGAAATCATTTTTAAAGATATTTACAAAGGCATGGCAAGTCCATTTTCATTCTTCTGAAAGGCACATAAAGTTATATTAAATGTTTTTAAAATGAGCTTATCTATTATTTGATATTAGGTTTGGATATTTTCTATTTACAAACAGAAAGTAACCTGAGGAGGGAGGAGATAACAGTGACAGTGAAGAATTATAAAAGTGAACAAGGAGACATTTGGGTTTGATGAATATGTTCAATGTCTTGATTTGAAGTATGGTTTCACAACACACGTAAATGGATGAGATAGGCAACGTAGCATAGTAAGTTAAACCGATGCTTGGCACACCTACAGCGCATATGAGAGCACCGGTTCAAGTGCTGGCTACTTCTTTTCCAACCCAGCTTTCTGCTAATGGGTATCCTGAAAAGGCAGCGTGAGTATACATATTTATATGTCATTTGTTATCCAAAATATATTATAGAACAAAAAATCCTGGCACTTCCCAGAACACGTATTTTTTTTTTTTTTATCCCAAATACGTTCTCCCTGCTAGTTTATAAATATCAGTGAAAGGAGTGGGAAGTTAGGGGATTAAGAAAAGCATGGTACATTGTTCTGAGTAAACGGCCTGAGGCTACTGTTGTTGTTGAGACATGTAAATGTGCATTTAACTCATTGAAATGAGCGCACCTAACTCCAAGAACTTGATCGCAAGATGTAATATGCGAAAAGGCATTTTTAGAAATTTTTTTCACAATCTCTTTGAGTTTCCATTCTTCTCCCCTTCTTGGTTCATGTGCACTGTTTCCATACCAGAGGTGAGTAAATGACCCAAATCATGCTGACTACAGTACTCCATTTCCCTTTCTATAATGACTCACATAGGATTAACATGTGACCCAAGCCAGACTGACTGCAGCTCTAATAATTTGCTGCAAACATAAATAAGGAACCTTATTTTTTGCTGAGATTGCCAATCCTGGGGACAAGAAAAGCCAGAGATGCCAGTGGTTACCTTTTCACTTTGTCTTATGAACAAAACAAAAAGAAGTAAATCAAGTGAGTACAAGATCTCTTCGCTCGTCAGGTTGCTGTATCCAGAAAATCTCTAGGGCCATGCTCTCCTGGATTTTTTCTGAGTACATTAACCAACTGTGAAAGTCCTGACTCCTGACACAGCTATCTGATTTAGATTTGTGTCACTTTTAGTGGAAAAGGATTGGACTGAGACATTGAACTGTTTGCAGTGTGCATATATCTAGCTCATTTATAACTTTGTGCATTTTTATATATTAGTTCCTCTGCCTGGAATGTCTTTGTTTCCTTTTCCTGGCTGATAAATCCCAACTGTTTCAGTAAGTAGCTGTTTAAGTTCCATGCTTCTTAGAAGCCTTCCTACTTCCTGTTGCACAATCCTCTATTATACAAATTGTTACCATGACTAAGAAACTCGTGGTTTGCTTTGTTCAGAATCAATAGCTTGTTTTTCATATTTGTACATTGCTTTATTACCATAGCTAATTAGCACTGATTATATGATATTGTAATG